GGGGGGTGGTAGCTGAGAGTAGATCACAACACACATTCTGAGTGTTAATTTTAATGTTTTTCCAAAACGAACACAATTCTGTCACTTTTCAAACCTCTGGCGTGAAAGACCGGGGTGCCGTATGTTATTCAAAGAATGCAAAGACTTTGATTTATTTGTAAGCTCTCATCATTTCTACTGAAATAACAGTAAACTGCAAAACTGACGGCGCGTTGGTGTTTATAGAACAGCGTGTGCACGAAGCGCTGCAGTATCTGAGACTGGAGCCGTTTGAGGTCGGTTAAATCATTTAAAGACCTTTGTTCTAACGTCAGGCTTGAATTGTTCGCTTTACAACAGAATCACGCTTCAAAAGATCTGAACTACCCTTTAAGTGCTGCAGTACAGTATAGTTTAAATGTCTGATGGGAGGCGGTTGTGGTGGACCTTCTTTATATTTTATACCTCAGTGGACTTTAGGTTTCAGTGCGTGGCACGGTTAAAGCTATGAAAACCAAAAGAATCCTGTCGTGGTTGAAGCAGACGGATCAAACCTTAAAGCGGTGAGGAGCTGTTTTTTAATCAGCAGCTTAAATTCTGCTCAGTTTCTGATGTAGTTAGTGCTTCCCTCGTCGACCTGATGTCTCTTTCACGCTGACCTCCTGTCAGTTCGCATGTTTGATCTGACCCGACGGTTCGGAGCCGATGACGTGAATCACTGCAGAGGGGAGATTTTATACATACTGTAAGTTCACAGTTAAGCTGAAAGCACTAATTTTATCAAAAGTTATAAGTATCTACATTTCTTAATCATGAAAACAGATTGTACAAAGTGTTTTGCATGTTGTCAGAACAGACGTAAACTGATGGATGGTACATGATTGACCCAAATCCCAGCGGTTCCCTTTCAGGCCGGTGTATAAAAACCTTTTTACCGTCACTGTTTGTTGCCTAACTCACAAATTAAACATTTTGTTAAAGTGACTTGTTTCTTTTTTTAACATTCTGACTTAAAATGAGGGACAGACTTCAGACTTGTCTCATTATTTTCTTGTATTTATTTAATATCAACAAATTTTAAACCTTTCATTGCTTACAGTCCAGAGCCTCATAATGGCTCTTAAAATTAACACTCGTTATTGAATTACATCTCAGTAATGAAGCTGAGCTGCTAAACAATATTTTATTCAGTTTGTATTTTTTCTCCTCTGATGCCGACAGTGGCAGAATAATTAACTCGGAACAATCGATCCTGAGAAACGTTCAAATTATATACAAGTTGAGGAAAAACATTGAAACTGATAAAACGCATCGTGATTTATCTGCTTTCATTTAAAAATACAAATACTATAGAATGCTGCATGACATATTTTAGG